TTCAGGGCCAGGTCCTTGCATCACCGCCGACAGCCCCCATCCCCACCAAGGCAGTCCTGTCATTCGATACTTCCTTGTGCTTTACCCTTCGCTGGGGTCCCACTGGCGGTCCCGCATCGGCCGAATCGGCGTAGCAAGGCGCGGGCATGTGTTTTCGAGGCGGGATATGTTTGAAATTCCTCGAAGGAGGTGTTTGCAAGACCTCATTGGGCGGGAGATCTGAATGGGAATAACGGACCCCGCTATAGAACAAGAGCCCCCCCATTACGTGGATGGTTATCATGATGGTCGCATGCTTCGTGTGGGAGCATCGCATGAGGTAAAATTATTGTTGTTGTCGTCGTCGTCGTCGTAGGTCCTACCCGCGACCCACCTGCGACCCACCCCGCGACCCACCACGCGACCCACCCCGCGACCCACCCCGCGACCCGCCCGCGACCCAACCCGCGACCCACCCCGCGACCCACCCGCGATTAACCCTGCGACCCATCCACGACCCACCCGCGACCCACCCGCGACCCACTTGTGACCCACCCGCGACCCACCCTGCGACCCACCCCGCGACCCACCCCGCGACCCACGTGCGACCCACGTGCGACCCACCCGCGACCCACCCGCGACCCACCCGCGACCTATTTGCGACCCATTTGCGACCCACCCGCGACCTACCCACATACATTGGTTCAACGAAAAAATCGGCGCCTGCGGCGTGCTCGTTGAATAATTTGTAAACTTTGGCGCCTGCGGCGTGCTTCTCCAGAGTCTCGCAGACTGCCGACGTCCCCACCGCCCCCTCACTCTCATCCGCATCTGCGGGGTGCCACATACCGATGCATGTTACTTCCGCTGGACACTGCCGACCTCCCGCCTGTGGAGCCACCCTCGCTCTGCCTCCGCTGTCCTTCCGCCGAGGGCGGAGCGTCAGCTCCTCAATCCCTCCGGGGCGCGGCCGCTTCTTGCCACGCTTGGCACACGTGGGTCCTTCGGCCGTTTTGGGGCCACCTAGGGCCGCCGTGGGGCCACCATGAGAGCCTCTCGGGCAAGATTGTCGGGGTCTTCTTGGAAACATCGGAGACCCTCTGAGGCTGCTACAGGCCTGAAGAAGAGAAACCGCTACAATCATTGAGACCCAAAACGAACATCAATGATTGCGGCCTCTTGGCTCTCCCGGCGCTCTCTTGAAGTCCTTTTGGGCCATTGGGTGTGGAGGCGACCGCGCTCTCTGGAGGATCTATCGGCGGCTCGTATCGCCCCGTGGAGCGATCTGGGAGGCTCCACTGGTCCTCATAATCAGTCGGAAGCCCGATTTGCGGAGAACGTGAGAAGTTCGGTAAAACCTCAAGATAATCACATGGTTACCTCGTCTTGGGCCGATCTTCGTTTTTTGCATCACCTTGCATCTCTGATTCAAGCCACGCGCCTGGCAAATGGTATCTTTGCGTTCTAAAATCAAAATGGCCCAATTAAGCACGCAGCGATCGTCGTTCACCTCAAGCTTGGAATTGGGATGCAACTGAATCTGCACCGAGCTAGCCGCTTGGTCCCACCCGATCTTTCTCTTCTTGATGCAGTTTCTCAGGTGCGCGCGGCGCACTCCGCGGAGAGCTCCTCGACCGCGGGGTCGGGCTCCCGGGTGCCGAGGAGGCCCCCGAAGCGGGCGGACCCCGGCCAGCCGAGACGTGTTGCGTGCACGCCTAGTGCCACGCGACGCACCATCTGCGCAACGACGATCGACAAGCGCAACGCCCAGAGCGGGGGCCGGCCCGAGGAGTTCGAACGTCCTCCCGCTCTCCACGGCGACCGCGCTCTGGACGGCCAACCAAAAAACATTGGCGTGACCGTCGCGCAGCTGGACAGTGCCGCACTCGCACCCTTGCTCTAGAGGCCTCCTAGATGGGGTCCGAGTAGATGGGGTCGACGGATCGCGCCGCATCGCCAATGCATCGCCGATGTATCGGCGATGCATCGGCGATGCATCGGCGACGTCGGCGATGCATCGGCAACGTCGGCGTGGGAAAACACGGTCTCCGCATCCAGCCGCATCGCCGATGCATTGGCGATGCGGCGCGATCCTCCGACCCCATCTACTCTGACCCCATCTGGGAGGCTTAGATGTTCGGAGCCGCCACGGCGTCCACACTGGCGCGGCCGGGGCATCCCCCGACCCCGAGAGCCTGGGGCCGACGTGGTCGGTCTCATCCTCGCTGGGCGCGACGGTCGAGGCGTGCACGCGGCTCCCGCCCCCCGGCCCGCCCACTCGCCTCCGGGACTGGCGCCCGTGATCCGCAGGCCGCAGGGCGACGCGGGCGACGGCCTCAGCCTGGCCGGGCCTTCTAAGCCTCCTCCTCCTCCTCCTCCTCCTCCTCCTCCCCCTCCTCCCCTCCTCCTCCCTCCTCCTCCTCCTCCTCCTCCTCCTCCTCCTCCCTCCCCCTCCTCCTCCTTTCCTCCTCCCCCTCCTCCTCCTCCTTTTCCTCCTCCTCCTCCTCCTCCTCCTCAGAAGGCCCGCCCCCTCTCGCGGACGCCTGGTGGCTTTTGGCTCCTGTGCGCTCCGGCCCTCGCGGCGAGGCGCGGCCGCTGGCACGCACCCCGAGGCTGGAAACCCGCCGAGGCGCGAGGAAAACGCCCTCGAAGCTCGAGCCCCGAGCTTCCCCCCTCGAGGCTCGCCCCTGAGCCTGGGCCCCTGGCCGCAGGGCGACGCGGGCGACGAACCCGGGAGGGGGAGGAACCTCTTGTCGAAGGACCAGCGCAGCAGGACGTGCCGGCCCGGCGGAGTGATGCCGAGCGGGGCCCGGACCAGATTCTGGTGGCGCGAGGGGGGCCTCCCGCTGCCGTGCTCGGCAGTAATCCCGCGTCGGGCTTGGCGTGGGCGGCGCGCGCTCGGGCTCGCAGCGGGGCTCGGAGAAGAGGTGGCCCGCATCGGAAAGATCCGCGATACAGTGGGGGCTCGGCCACAAGAAACCTCCGCAAGAAACCCAACCCTGAAATCCGCGATTCGTCAGCAAAAATCCACATGTGTCGCTCGGAAATCGTCAAAATCTGATTGGGGGCCCATCGAAATCCAAGACATCCGGGGCACCCTGGCAAAATCCAACTGGTTTCTTGGCACGCGCCCCCACTGTACAGATACAGGGGCCTTGGACGCCTGTTTCGAAGCTCCTCGAGCGGGGCGGGGCCGACGGAAGCGGCCAAGGCTGCAAGGGTACCCTTGGGGAAGGCTGCCCATCCTTCTTCAGCGGGGCGCGGCCCACGAGAGTGGCCAAGGATGGACCGAGGAGGCACGGATGCAAGGGTACTCCAGATTTCGTAATAAAAGGGAGGGGGTCTGGACCCTCCAAGACAAGCCATTTCAGACCTCCCCCGTGGGAGAACCCTCCAAAACATCGTCGCCAGACCCCCCCAGGCCCTCCAAGATAGCCTGGAAGAGACCCACCCCCCGAAATGAGACCCCCCTCCCTTTTATTACGAAATCTGGAGTACCCTTGGGAAGGCTGCCCATCCTTCTTGTGCGGGTTGACTGCAGGAGCAGAAGCAAGCTGGATGCTGGCGGTTACCTGCACCTCGCATCGGAGCCCGGCTTCGGGAGCTCCTTTGCCCTGCCCCGCGCGTTCCACCTGCCACGCGCCGCCCCCCCCACCGTGCCAGAGTTCACCTCTCCAAGCAGAGGGCATCAGTGCTGTAAAATCCCACGCCGCGCCCCCGCTTCTGCATTTTTCACGCATCGCACCATCGATGGTGCGTCTACCGTGACCCCGATACACACATGTTACCCAACACCCCACCGCCATTGCTGACGGCACTCGAGTCGCTCGCCTGCCAGCCGAGGTTGGGAGTGTCAGCAGCCATGGCTTTGGAAGGATACGTTCCTCCGCCACCGCAGATTTCTGCACTGCATGTTGGGTTTACGATGCTGAGCTGATGCGTGCAAGCTGCATCAGGAAAGAATGAGACGAATCGAACGATCCATTATCGTGCACCTGCTGAGGAACACTCACCTGATGTCATACTGCACGTGATTCGCCAGCTCTGGCTCTGAGCAGGAGTCGCTTCGGAACTCTCTGGAGTCGGTGCTGGTGTTGGCGCGGACATGGGTGCTCGCGTGGGTGGTGTAGTAGGCGTCTGCACAGGCGTCAGCCTGTGACGGCAATCCAATACATACATACATACGTACTTCGCGCAAAATGTGCCCATTTTTCCATCGCCACCCACTCCTCCTGGAAAGGACCCTCGATAGTACCGATACGCACAACGGGTTCGAATATCGCAATCTTTGTACACACGGTCATGGCTACCTTGACCACTCTCTGAACTGATACTGTCCACGACGCATCATCACTGCTGCCCTGCATCACCCACGCTGTCGGGTACTCCCCACACATTGCCATCAGTCAACAGCGAGTAAAAGTCATTTCGCTTTCTGGCTTACCCTTAGCCACCGATTGGGATAATTAGAGCAACGATTTCCACGTCTCCATGAAAGACGGACGTTGGCCCTGCCAATGCAATCGCGGCGAGGACGCCCTGGAGGAGTAGCGCCAACGCAGGTGTGGTCAATCGTGCCCTGTCAGCCGCCAGCGTCTGAGCAAACTGAGTGCACGTCATACAGGTCCAGTATCAAGGGGTGTGGGCTTTGGCTTGCGCGGGCTTAGCAGACGCGCCAGTTTTGGCTACAGAGCGAAAACCATGCCATCTCATTGGGGCGCATGTTTTACGTCCGCCGGCTTATGCTGGCCTTCCGCCGGCGGAGGCGGCCCAGCCCCTTCGATCTTCGAAGGCCGAGCCCTTTCTGGAATGCCCCATGCAGCGACTAGGGCTCCCAACTCCGCGCTCCGCGCTCCGCGCTCCGCGAACAAGTTCGCGCTCTCGCGCCGCCCCCCCAAAGGGAGAAAAGGAAACCGAGGAGGAGGGGGAGAAGGAACGAGGACCGCGAAGCGCGAGTAACTTCGCGCCCTCGTGGGAGCCTCATGCAGCGAAGACAGGCGTGACGCAGCCCCGCCCGGCGCCTGGCAGGTCCTCTCGGGCAGCCGCTGCGACCGAGTGTTGCCCACGTAGCACGTGCACGGCCCCAACCTGGGGTCCCCAATCAAGCGACGAAGCATGACCTCACGAAAACCACCACAAGGGCCTACGGCAGGCTCGTGTCGTGTCGACTGGTGCGCCGGCCTCTGACACCGCGTGGATCGTTCGGCCTTGAGCTATCGCGGCCTACCGATAGCGCAGGTCGTTCGATGTCGGTCGATTCTGGGCCCGCGTCGGCGTTTAATCTTGAACGCCCCCGCTGAAATCACCGCCGCGGCAACGTGGCGCGAATCTGCCGCAGGACTGCCACCCATGCTCGCCGTGAGCGCACCGGGGGCTACGCGGATGCATGTGCAGACCACCGCGACAGCCGCCTCGGTAGATCTGCACACATGCGAACATTCACACGCACACCCGTCTATACACACGCATATATATATATATATATATATATTCTAGAATCATCGCGCGCGCTTCGCGTGCGCTCAAGTTCTAGCTAGGCTTGATAGGCTAACCCATGTACTATCATTTTGGTCGCTCCTTGCGTCCAGAGACTCCCTTGGAGGCTCTGCGCAAGCCTCGGAATCGTATAGAAGGGGAAATGCGGAAACGCAGAAATCACTAATTTCCTTAAGGTATTCAACGATTTGGGCCCTCAAAGGCTTCCTGGTTTCTTTTTGGGTAGGTGAGGGGGGTCTGAATTTTGGTCTGTTGTGCAAGAGTAGACCGGGGGCCAAACTTCGAAACAAAAACAGGACTTGTGGGATTTCCATGTTTTTCCAGTTCCTAGGCGCTGTTCGGCGCTGTTTTTTGGTGTGTGCCTCGCAGATTCTTTTAGCCGGGCCCCTCAGGGGTGTTGGATTTTCTCGGACCTCTCTTGGGGCCTTCTGGAGGCCTCCTGGAGGCCTAAGGGTGTCTCGGGCTGCGCGGGAGCGTGGTGGGCCGTTCTTTACGTTCTGGGGGCTCCTTGGGGTCGTCATGGGCTGTCCTTCGGCGTCTTGGGGTCTCCCCCCGGGAAGCCGGGAGACGCCGTTCAAGCCAGATGTCAGGAGATGTGTAGGACCCCCGAGTGGGAGTCCCACTTTGGAGAAAAAAAGAATTCTGGGAATTCCCTCTTTTCTTTCAAAATCCTCGATCTTCGAGGGTTGGAAGCGGGAAAACGTGAGAAGGCGAAAAACATTAGGAAAAAACTATAGGAAATCAGCGATTTTACCCTCTTTGGGCTCTCTCGGGACGGCTCTCCCAGCTCTATTGGGCTGTCCTTGGAGCCTCTTCGGTGTAGTTGTGGGGCCTCCCCAAGATCGGGGGTGTGTTGGGGGCCTCTGGTGGTCCTGGAGGCCTCTCGGAGGTCTGTGGAATCTTCCTGCTCCCACTCTTGGGCCCATCTTTGGCCTGTTCTGGGGTGGTCTGGGGCTGTCCTGGGCACCTCTTCGGCAGTCTTGCAGCCTTCTTGGCCCGTCTTGGGGCCGTCCTGAGGGTCTCTTGGGTGGTCTTGGGGCGGTCTTGGGAGCCTCTTCGGCGCTCTTGGACCGTTGGAAGCTCGAAAACGCGAGAAACCAAAAACATTGAACAAAAAACACTGAAAATCTACGATTTGGGCCTCTTCGGACCGTCCCGGGACGCCTCTCGGGCCTCTCTTGGGGTCTCTTGGAGGTTACCTGGGAGCCTCGAGAGCCGTCGGAAGGCTGACTTGGGCTGCTTGGGAGCGTCTTTGACCATCCTTTCGAATTCTGGGGGCTGCTGGGAGTAGTTTTGGGCCCTCCTGAAGCGCTGTGGAGGCTCCCCGGAACGCCCAGGGGAGCGGTACCGAGAGCGTTCCCGAGATGTCACGGGGAGGTGGGGCACCCGGGGTCGGGGGGGACGCCTCTTGGAGGCTTTTGGCGCGTTTTGGAGGCCACTGAAAAGCCGTCTTGGGACCATCGTGGGCGTCTGGAGCGATCTTTGGGCGTCTCGGGGCCCTCTTGGACCATCTTGGGCGCCTCCTGGGCCAGTCTCCAAGCTGTCCTGGCACGTTTTGGGGCCGTCTGGGAGCCCCTGGGGACGGCCAGGGGAGGGAACCACGCATATACAAGGGTGGTCGCTGCCCGGGGCCCGGGGCCCGGGATCTCCCATATATACACACACACATATATAGATATCTATATCAAATGGCGTAACAACAGCGAGAGCGAACACGAGCTACAGAGTACCTGCATCCCGCAAGTCGTAGCGAAAGGCAGGTTGCGTCAGGGCGAGAGAAGACACCTGGAGCGGATGGGATTCGAGCACACGCACACACACACATACACACACACGCAAACACACATACACGTACATAGTATTGATATTCGCAGACGTTTATGTCTATATACACGTTTTACTCGGCGGCTCCGGGAGCCGTACCAGCAGAAGAAGATATGATGACGGGGCCAGGGGAGGACGGGGCGAGACGAGGACGAGATGGCCGAACTGTGCGGGCCAGCGCGCCCAACCACAACACGCTCTTCCTGAGGATGGACAGACGCCGCGGCCAACCCTGGACGGGAGCCCGTCGCCCAGGCGGGCGGAACGCCGCGCCGGAGCCACAGGGGCTGGACAGGCCGAGGGTGTGAGGCCAAAGCGTATAACAGAACAGACCCCGGCGTCTTGGCGGCAGTGGGCCAGGGCGTGGCGGCAACGGCGCGGTGGCAACTCATGGAAGCCGCCCATACCATCATGTCGGCTCTGGCGAATCGAAGCTAGATCGGCGCGAATCGAAGCTACATCGATGCGAATAGACGCTAACCGACGCTCAATCGGCGCCATCTCATCGACTCCCAGACGCTAGTAGACGCTCATCGGCGCTAGGTAGAGACGGCATCGCGACGGCATACAAGGTTTCTATATGATCTGCTGCCGAGTAGCGGTAAATCTGCGAGGGGATGCCCAAAAAGCAGCGGCACAACGGCCGCGGGCACCCAGCACGCCGTGGCTCAAGCCAGACAGGTGTGCGCGCGCCGCAGGCGCCATGCCGCGTGGGCAGGGAGGGCCGTTGCCTTATTCTTGGCTTAAAACAAGGCTAGGGTCGGGATAAATCGCTCCAGAGCGATCTGGAGCGCTCTCAGAGCGTTCCGGAACGCTCTGGAGCGGCCGCGGCGCCCAATACATCCTCCAAACCCGTCGATTCTCAGAGACTTCGAGTTATCCCGATCCGATTTTGTCCCGATCTTCGCGTCGTTTTACGGCTGCTCCTCCCGTGGGGGGACGTGGCCGGCGCAAGCCCGGGCGCCGCGATGCCCCAGCAGCAGCGGGGCACCGCGGGTGAGCAGGCAGCGCGGCCCGAGGGCCAGCTGGCGGCCGCCGCCGCGCAGGCGGTGCGGGCGGCGGCCCTCTGGCCGCCGGCGCGCGGCGCGCGGGACGGCCTCGCCACGAGAGGGGGCACCGGCGGGAGGGGAAGTGCCGAAGCAGCGGCGCGGGCGCTCGGGCTCGGGCCGCCTGGGCAGCCCGGCGGACGGCCCCCGCGCGCTGGGACTGCTGTCGTCGTCGTCGCTCGGCCGTGCCCTGCCCAGCGGGGGGCGCAGGTGGCCCGGACTCGTCGGCCTCGCATGGGGAGTCGGGTCGAGTGGAACCGTGCATCGGGTCGGGCTGCATCGGCTCGGGGTGGGGATCGGGTCGGATCGGCCGCGCCGAGATAGTTACCCGGCAACGCCGTGCGAGCCTCGGGATCGAATCGGATCCAGCCCGCCAGGATCGACATCGGATTGGATCGATCAGATAGAGAGGCATCCTGGGCAGCTCAAGATAATCCACTCAACCCTGGAAGTCGTTAGCTGCGCTGGGCCCAAGGCTGGTCGAACGCTTTTTCAACGCCCGAGGGGGCTCAGAGGCCGGTCGTTCACCCCGTCGGGCGGCTCGCAACTAGGAGAGCAAGAAATCAGCAGGTCGGACAGTGCGGATCCAACAGTTCCACAGAAGGACGAAGCAGAGGAGCGTGTCCGCCAGCTGTTAGTTGCAAGCCTGGGTAGCCAAGACGGACTCTGTCCATATTGGCCAACAACGCGTGTGCCCCGATGGATGTGCAACATTGAGCATCCTGACTAGCAAACTCACGCATGTGTTGGCGTCACAGCCGCGCGCGCAGCAGCGCACAGGAGTCACGCAAAGGGCGGACGGAGACGCCACACACACCATCCACTCAACACACAACACACAAAAAACACATTACACACAACACATCACACAAACAGCGCACAACACTAGACAACCAAAACACAACACATAACATAATGCAAACCGACATGATACAGCACACGACGCAGAACAAACATGGTATAACGCACGATGTCCGATACGCTGTGCACAACACAAAGCACACACCACACAACAGGCATCACTCACCACGCACAGAACCCAACACAACACACAACAAAGAACATACAGCACCAACACGCAGCACGCAACGCACACCAGACACTAAACAGCGCATTCCCATCACAACGCGCAGCACACCCAGCGCATACAAACAACATATACCATTCTCACGCAACACAATACAAACACATACACGCGCACACCTTACGAAAGAACGTAGACAAGTCACCGATTCCAGGAACCCCGAACAGAACAATGCTGGCGTCTCACTTTTACTTCCGCCGCAGTCCACCGCCTTCCGCCAACCTTGAAATCGTACCCAGAATGCATGCGAAATTTCGGGCCAACGCCTGGAAACGCAACAACTGTCCGCCTGAGCGTACCGCTTGCCAAAACAAATGCAACGGCACCCTGTTATCGAGGTCATCGTGTTGCTTGTGTAGAGGCCCCTGGAGGACTCAGGAGCTGCAGGTCTCTCGGTGCCCATGAAAGAGGCCGGGAACGTCCATAACCTCGACCTGGGAGAATCCAAGAGGTACAGACGCTGCGGCTCACGAGGCCAATCTGGCCACTGGACGGGCCAGTCCAGCCCCAAACTGTACCACTGGGCTCAGGTCGGGCATGTCCCCCTACACAGGCGGATTCTGGGCGCAAAGAGCTAGTCAAACAATCGTCCCAAACGATTTGTGTTACTATGGTTGAACATTCCTCCTGTAGAGGGACAGGCCGGACTCAGCAGTGGGCGGGCCAGTCCAGCCCCAAACTGTGCCACTGGACCCATCTGGCACCAGACCTCTCCTCGTCACCCCGACCAAGGTCCCCTCGACGCCAGGCCCCAGAACGAGACATAAGGAATGAAGCCCCTTCTTGGCCCCAGAAGCACCTACGTGCACGAAGGGGGTTGGTTGAACAGCCATGGAAGGAACTCGGGAACATCGAGCCCTTTCCGAACCCAAACTGTTCCTTATTTCAACGCCTTGCCGTCCTCATCCAACGGTTCTGGCAATGCTTCATCACGATTCGGTCTTGAACGGTCTGGGTGCCCAAAGCAGGCCTCCAGGGGCCGAAACGTCCAACCACCCTCCTCTTCGAACCTCCTCCGCTAGCGGCCAGCTTCGAGCTCAGCCCACTCCTAAAGTCGACAAGCCCACGGCAATGGCAGCCGTAGGGATGTGCCATCAGAGCCATAATATGATCCCAAGCACAGGGATAGGGATACAGCCATCGAGTTACCACACGGAACGCTGCATGAGGAACGAAGGGGATGTTCTGGCAACCGCGAGCCTCGATCACCAAGAAACTCAACGACTTAGAGCTCAGAAACGGCCCGAAAACCGCAGCCGCTCCAGAGCCCAGTGGTCCTTAACTCTTTCAGCGTCTTGACAAGATGCTTGCTGCAAGCTTGCTTTTGGGCCGGGAACTTGTGCTGGACGTGTCGAGGCGGCGTCCCCGGCGACACGCGACGCACTTCAAGCGGATAGCGTGTCGTTCCGCTCCGCGGGGCGGGCAGCGGAGAAGAGCTCGGGACGTGGACGCTTGAACATGGGGACGTGGATCGCGTGTCTTGCCGAAGCTTGGCGGGCCAGAATCACCGGAGCGACACGCTGAGCCAGAACTCCAGACCGCGTCCGCCTCCGACCTCATTTTAACTCCCGCTGGGGCAAGCCTGACAATAGATGGCGTCGGCCTCAGAGCTTGCCCCGCGCCTCCTCCGTCGCTGGCGCGGCTGCCCCAATCAAAACCGCTGCTGGCACTGTCTTCGGAATCGGACGCGTTGAGCTCTGTTGCGCCTGGGGTAGGGCTGGGAGGGCGCCGCTTTCGTCGTCGTCCTCCTCCTCCTCCTCCTTCCCCTCCTCCTCCTCCTCCTCATCATCATCAGCATCATCATAACTTACCTCCTCTTCTTCTTCCTCCTCCCGTCCGAAGCATCACTGCCCTGCTAAAACTTGTGACTGTGATTCCTCGGCCTCAGCCACCTCTGCGTGGAACTTAGGCACACGGCTAAAACTGTGGTGGTTTGGTTGTGGCCCGACCCCATAAGCACACCGGTGAACGACATGGGCTGACACCCCCGGCTGCTCCGCAAACCTCTTGAGGCGTGGGAGCTGCCACGAGGACGGGACGCCTTCACGCCAGATGCAGGGGGCAAGGCGTTCCATATGGTACGCACTCCACAAACCCACGCATACTGGAGAAACGTAATGGCACCCCTCCTCCGTCCCCTGCGCCTCTTCCTCTGGGGACCCCGCGCGGGAGCTCGAGTGGCGGGTGGGAGCACTGGCTAAGGGGAAGAAGGCGAGGCGCGGTGGCGAGAAAGGGAGAGGACGAAAGAGAGAGAGAGAGAGGAAGAGAAACAGAGAAAGAGAGGAAAGAGAGAGAGAGAGAGAGAAAAAAAAGAAGCAAATGAGAGAGCGAGAGAGAGAAAGCAGACAGGCAAGAGGCATATAACGAAAGTTGGTGAGCAACAGAGACATGTGTATATATATGTGCGTATAACGAAAAAGAGACATCAATAAAGATATATCAATACAAACACGATACAACTTTACAGAGAGGGAGAGAGATACAGAGAGAGAGAGAGAGAGAAACAAAGAAAGAGAGAGGGAGAAAAAGAGAGGTATAGGGACAGTCTCACGAAGCGCAAACGATACAGAGAGAGAGAGAGAGAGACAGAGACAGAGACAGAGACAGCGGTGAGTGGGGGCGGGGTGAGTATCTTGTCATCTCGAAGCCGTTTTGCTGGCCACATGGCGCGGTAAGGGCCGCGGAGGCCGCGCAAATTTCAACTGCGCCAGCAGCCTCCCGCACCCAGAGGTGTCCGCGCCCACTTGACAAGGGGTGCGGCACCCCCCGCGCCAGTCTGAACCGCTGGCGGTGCGCACCCCCCGCGCCCAGCCTGGCGGTGCCAGTCTGAACCGCCGCGCGTGGCGCCATGGATGCAAGTGCCCCCAGGAGCGGGAGGGCGGGGCGAAAACGCGCGCGCCGTCCGCAATGGCGGGACACAAGCGCCGATGCCTGCACGATGCAAGCGCCAATGCCTGCAAACAGCACGACCCCGAGGCGCGCCGCGATCCGCCCCGACGGGGTCCCCGCGGCGCGCCTGCACGGGGCGCGCATCGCGATGAAAGCAGACGCGTAAACGCTGCCTCGTGCGCGCGGTGGCCCTCTGTCGCGGGGGCGAACGCAGAAACGCGCATGCAATCGCACCCCCCCCCCTCGCGCGCGCGGGCCCTTCGCGTGGGGCCGCGCGCCGCGAGGCTCGAGAGAGCGGGGGGCCCGCCCGCGCGCACTGCTCGCACTCCCTCGCGCGGGCCAGGCGCGCGCGAAATTCGTGCCCGCGCACAGCGCAGCACCGGCGAGCGCGCGCGCTTACGATGGCGTTGTGCGCCCACAACATCTGGGTAGGGTGGGGGGGGGGGGACAAATTCGCGATCTTGCCGCCACGCGATGAGGTCTGGGAATGACGGCGGGGGAAGAGCGGGGAAAGGAGGAGACGGAGGTGCACTGGCACGCCCCAGGTGGGTATGGCAAGGACGGGCACGACGCCCAACAGCAAATGCTGTCCAACACCGACAACGGCCACTGTTGCCAAGGCGGCATGTTGTCTCATGCCTGCCGCAGCGACACCGTCAACGAGCTCTGCCTGCTGTCAGTGTTCGTATCCGTTCTTTTCGTGCGGCCATCGTGCGAGCATGAAAAAACCGATGCGTCAGGAACGAGGGCGCTTCTCTGACCGCGGCGAGCCTCGGCCAAGAATGGGGTCCCTGGCCTGGTTGAACCGAAACGTCCGATGACGGCTTTTTCCCGATGGGGCCTCCAGGAGCCCTGACCCTCCCGCAGATCCAGGTTCTCGTGCCGAGCCGTGCTCTGACGGCCCCCGGGCCCGGCGAAGGACCCCGGAGGCCGCACTCGGCCAAAAGCCTCTTTGCGGCGCGAGCATGCCTGGAACCGAAGGAACGGCTCGAACATTAGAGCTCCTCCGGAGCCCCCTCCCCAGGCGGTCCTAATTCGAGAGGCCTGCTGAGGCCTGCCAAGGCGACCACTGGGAGGCTGACGGTGCGCAGCCCGAAGCCTTACCGTCCCCATCCCAGATCTCAGGGGCGGCCGAAAGACCAAGGCCCATCCTGAGCCCAGCATGGTTTCAGCGCCTTGACTGCACCCATCTTGATCGCCCCTGCGTGCCAAGTTCCGCGGTCGAGCGGGCCCGGCAGAAGCCCTCACGGTCCGGCGGAATCCTGCAGAATCCAGCGCAATCGGGCCGAATGGCAGGTTCCATCTGGGCTGCCCCGGCCAAGTGGCCCCTCTCAAGCGGGCTCAAAACGGCCTCCAGCGTTCTCAGGAGGACCTCCTCGGAGCCGCCTCCTGAGTGGTCCGTGCTCCTGCGCCTGGGCTCTAATCTCAGGTCGGGCATGTCCCCCTACAGGCGGATTTCTTGGGTCGGGATGTCCTCCTCAAGGCAGTTTGTGGAAGACAGCTGAACATAGTCAAAACATGCTCCAACATAGTCACAAAAATGAGTACCCAAACTATCCTTTGACTATTTTTGAATGTTCCCCCTGTAGAGGGACATGCCCGACTTAACTCTAACCCCTCGACTTGCACCTTCCCGGCGGGTGCCGCGGCGCCGCAGCCGCATCGCGGCGACACCTTCCACGCGAAAGATGCGAAACCCTGAGATCCGACGTTGCGTGTTATTGTGACAGATGAGGCCTGGCGCGACACCAATCCTATTGCACGGGCGCAATGTTTGGCATTGCTTGGCATTGCTTGGCATGATGCACCCGGGAAACCTGGGGAACCTGGGGAACCCGCGGAACCCGGGAAACCAGGGGGAACCCGGGGACCCCGCGGGACCCAGGGAACACCTAGACAACCCGGGGAAGCACTGGGGGCGGGGAACCCAGGGAACCCGGGGAACCCACGGAATCTCCGGGCAACGGGCAACGTATTGGAAGTCCCGAAACGGTGCGGTGACGGACCGTGCGGTGACCTCGAAATCCCCCAAGACGTCACCGCACGGTCCGTCACCGCACGGTCTTGGGACCCCGGAGGCCCCTGACGCCCGAGACGCCCTCGGAGAGGGACTCGAGTCCCAAAACCGTGCGGTGAACCCGAATCCCCACCGACTCACCGCACGGTGTGGTCAGCACTCCGTTTGGGGACCCCCAACGTAAGGAGGCACAGGGGGAGGGAACCCGGGGAACCCTAAGAATCTACAAAGAACGGGCAAGGTAAGCCCCGGAGGCACCAACCTTGAACCAAGTAGCAACCCCTTGGGCAAGGCGAACTGGGGAAACCTGTGGGCAGATGTGTGTATGTGTGATGAAAGCAAAGCAACGACTAGAGCCACAAACCCCACCTTTGTGAGTCAGCTCTCGAGCCAGATCGAAACGTGAGGGCCCCAGGGCCGACAGCAACGGAACATCCCCCACCGTCAAACAAAACACACACATACACACAAAGCCATGGTCTGCGGGACGGCGCGCGTCGATTGAGCAGGGACCAGCCCGTCCCGGCATTCCTGTAGTCCTACCACGAGGTGTTCCTAGAACCCCAAAATGTCCTACGAACAAAAAGCAATGTTCTCTAAGAGGTGTTCTTAGAACCCCCAAAGGTCCTAATATCAAAAAGCAATGTTCTCATGACGTGAACCCGAGGAGCTAAAACAAGACAGCCCCAGCCAGAGACACGCCCCAAGGCCATGCCGCGCAGACGAGAGAAGGTTCTTAGAACATTCTCTGGTGGGCCTATCGGCGAGCCAGGACGCTTCGCAACTGCTTGTGCCGATGGACTACCCAGCTCGATCGCGCCGAGCGGAACTCGGCGAGAGCGGCGCTGCTCGCCTCCAGGGGCCTGGCCCCCGCCGCCAGCGCCCGCCGCCATGGCGCGCCTCGACCGCTTCCGGGCCGCGGCGGCGCGCGCATCTGAGCCGCAAGCGTGCCTGCGAGGCACGGGCTCCAGACCCCCTCGCGCTGCGACAAACTACACCCGAGAAAACCCCGATCGGTGGATGATTTGAAAATGAGATATATGGAGCTTGAGATCGATTGTGGGATCGATCGTGAGATCGATTCAATGAGATCGATCGGGAGATCGATCGCGGGATCGCTCATGCGATCTCTGGTGAGATCGCTTGCGAGATCGATTGTGAGATCGATTGTGAAATCGATGGTGAGATCGACAGAGAGGTGGGAAGTGAAATCGATGCTGAGACCAATCGATGAGAAGATCGACCAAGAACCTGGGAATCTGGGAACCTCGCCGCCCACCGACATCGGTCCGGGAACCGGGAACCCGGGGACCCGGAACCGGGAACCCGGGAACCCGGCCTGCCACCAAAATCGGCGTGAAAACATTCGCCTTCTCTTTCAATATCCGCTAGGATCCCTTCCGTGCAAGCATTGATTGGTGACACTCGCGACGGGAGATTTCTCATTCTCGTCGGCCTCCAATTGAATGCCCTTCCCGGGCGTCGGGGCCGTCAAAAAACGACCTGGGATGAAAAACCGGCCCCTGGGAAGAGTTCAAGACTTTTGAGGGGCACGTCATGAACAAATCACGACGCTGGGGGTCTGGGCACAGTTCCCTTCGGAGCCCGTTCTGCGTCTGAGCCCCGTCGGCCGTTGAATGAACAGCCGAACGGGCTCGGTTCTGATAGGGTCCAAGGGAAGTGAGCCCGCTCGGCTGCCGAATGGGCTGGGTCGTGCGTCCACCCGGCGGCCGAAGGGGCTCAGACACCGAACGGGCTCAGAAAAGACACCTGGGGTTGGATTGTACGGTCGGTTGCGCGCAGGAGTGGCCCTGGGCAACAGTGGCCTTTGGTGCGAGGCGTTGAGGGGCCGCAGGAGGGCCAAAATCCAAGCGTGCGAGCCAAGGTCACTCCTGAGAAGGGTCACATTTACGCGTGGCCGACTCGGTTCCCTTGCTGAGTCCTGTGAGCCTCAGTCATCATTCCTCGGGATCTTTTGGGGGACCCGAGCCCCAAACTCTCAGATCTCCCGGGGCTCCCAGCGCGCCCGGGGAATCTTCCCGCAGGACCTCTTCGGGCCCAACGGCGGGCCACAAGGGCCCCTAGAGGCATCCCCCACGCTCCAAGAGGACGTCGAGTCGCCGAGCGATCGGTGCAAGGCACGACGGCGGGAGGGGCCGACTGCCGCCAGATACTCCAGATCCCCCATCGAGGCTCTCGCGGGGCTCTCGCGGCTGCTGTCTCTCCGGTATCGGCGGCGGCAGCTCCCCCAGGCATGCTCTGCCCATGCCTGGAATCCCAGACCCCCGACGTCATGATTTTTTCATGACGCGACCCCCAGAGGTCCGGACCCATTCCCCGGGACCGGTTTTTCATCCCGAGTCGTTTTTTGACGGTCCCGAGGGCCGGTAAGGGCCCCTGGAGGCCGAAAATAGCGAAAAACCTCTCGTCATGATTTTTTCATTACTCGAGGGGGTCTGGCATCGCGGCGAGAGGCTTTGGGGCCGCGGCCCAGTCATGGGGACGCGCTGGCCCGCGCCAGCGCAGACGCGGGTCCGCCAGGGCCGCGTGGCGAACCCCTAGGCCGGCCACGCAGCAGCTCCCCCAGACCCGGGGTCAGCGGAGGGCGGGGGAGCGGGGAGTCGACTCCAGGTGGCTCCCGGGGCCGGGTCCGCCAGAGGATCTCGGAGGGGACTGGCTGACCCCCGTCAGCGCTGACCCCCGTTGCGTGTAGACCCCGACTCGGTCTCCGCGGGCCCCCGCCGGGCCCTGGGACCGGCAAAGGACGGCTCGGGATGAGAAGCCGGCCCTGGGCAAAAGGAGGGTCGGGACTCCCGGGGAGCCCGTACTTCAAGGGGCCCGTGGGCACACAAAATAGACATGCACAGATCCCAGGATCCCCCATACTTCATGATCCCACCAGCCCTCTTGGAGACAGGTGGTCTAACGAGGGCCTCTTTCCTCCTCCACGACCCCTCTTCCCTTCGGGGAGGGGAGCCCTCCCCTTCCCGTCCCTGAGGTTTTTTGGGGGAGGGGTCGCGAGATGTCGGAGGGTCCTATTCGGCTCTTTTTCGGACCCTGGGAGGGCCAATCTTTGACACCCGTCACGAGGATCGTGGCCTCAGAGGGGGCGAAGGAAATCGAGTACCCCTCCTCTTTTGACCGACCGTCTCCATGATTGCCCGAAGAGGCGCTCCAGGGCTCCCAAGAAGCCCCCAAGAGGGCTCCAAGAGCGCCCCCACGAGGCCCCAAGAGGCCTCCAAGAGGCACCCGAGAGGCACCCAAGAGGCTCCCGAGCGGCCTCAGAGAGCCCAGGGTGACCTCAACGATGGCTCAGATAGCCCAAGCTGGCTCAAGATGGCTCCCAAGATGCTCCAAGCGGCCCACAGACTTGTGTATGCAAAGTCAGAGCCATAATTTAGTCATGTTTGTGTGCGTGTGAGTGTTTTTTTTTGTGTGTGTGTGTGTTGTGTGTGTGTGTGTTTTGTGTGTCCGTCCGGATTTTTTGTGTGTGGTTGTGAATGCTGTGTTTTTTTGGGTTTTCTGTCTTTTGGGTGCTGTTCCCCACCGGACAGGTTAGGGTCGTCAGATTTTAGAAACAAGCCTCCCGGCCACCCCCACTCTGCATACCGTGGCCGCCAGAACCCAAGTTGTCCCGAGTGTCCTGGTTATCCCGCCTGGCGCCCTCGACAAACACGACAGAACGCAATATGGCACAACATAACATGACAGAACAGAGCAAGAGCATGACAGAACATGGCAGAACATAGCATATCAATATCATGACAAAATAGAGGACACCAGCATATCGCCGAACATACCCGAGCAGAACATGACAGAACAAGTTTGGTTTGTGCTTTTGTTCGTGCATGTGCCGCACCGGTCTGGACAATCACGCAGGGGAGGGACGACGAAGAAGAGAGGCGGGGAGGTCTGATACAAAAGCCTCGAGGGCCACCTCTGGGGCCAACCGAATGACGGAGAATGGGGGCAGGGAGTGGCTAAGGATAGAAAAAGGGGGGCGAAGGATAAAAGCGGGAGGGTAACGCGAGCGACGCACCGAGGAGCAGAAGCGGAGAGAAAGGAAGTTCTTCGGTTGATCATGCCAAGAAAAGTGCGAGGTTGATGACTAATTTCTCTGACTTTGCACACGCACAACAAGACCGCTCCAAGACGGCTTAAGATGGCCATGGAGCCTCCCAAGCCTCCCTCGCTGATTGACTATGCGTGTCTCTTCCTCTCCCCCCATCAACTCTCATGGGCACCGATTCTGGATGGGCTGGTGGGGATACGAGAAGCGTCAAGAATTGTGTTCTGCACTTTCGTCTTCCCCCCCACGTCCCATGTTCAATATCCACGTTGACCCGAAAAGGGGTTCAGCGAAAAAGGGGTGGTGTAATAGATTTGGTGCAATGTGTGTATACATATATTTATATAAGTGTGTGGGGTCGTAACAGGTTTGAGGTGTGCAAAACATTCTGGTGCGCAAATGTATTGCTGAATTTCAGCGTACAATGTCTTGCTGCATTGTCCCGTGCACATGCAGTTGCAATACGCTGCAACACAATTTTCTGGCGCAATACACCTGCAAAACACTGGCCCAATATTTATTGCACCACCCCTTTTTGTGTTGGATCCCCCTTCTGGGTCACCAGAAGATGTGTTCGTGGGAATCGACCGCTACGTGCGTCTGTGTGCATGTCCCCCTCTGGAGCACGGCAAACATCAGAGCGTCGCATGCCGGGGCCCCCCTCCCCTGCCCGCTCGGGGGCCCTCGGAGGGCGGCCGTGTTCAACCTGCGCCTCCCGCGTCGGCGCTAAGCTTGGGTGCCCCGACTGCGCAGCGCGCAGAACGCAGCGTGCCGGCACGGAGCTCAACGCGCAGACTGGAGACGTGGGTCTGGAGCGACGCGCTCGCCAAAACGTGGACCAACACGCGCTTGCGCTTCTAGGGGGCCACAGGCGAACCCGACCCCCGCCCCGCACGATTTCTGAGAGGGAGGGCGGGGTTCACTTCGCTCGGGAGCTCCTGAGCGAAGTGAACCCCACCCTCCTCCTCAGAAATCGTGGGGGGTGGGGGTCGGGTTCGCATGTGGCCTCCTGGTTTCAGCATGGGCACATCAGGGCAGCTCAGGTGCCGAGCGCAGTCACTGCAAAACATGCCATCCGCATGGGGACGCAGGGCGGCTCACTTTCAAGGTGTGGTTCCTGCCCCAGCGCTGACCGCTCGCGCTCCTGGTCCCCAAAAAGACCACAGCTGCAGGCATGGAGGGTGGGTTGTGTTCAACATGTGGACCTCGTCATAACAGCTAGAGACATCTGCGCGGATGGGGACCGGCTCCTTTTCATGATGGGGCTCTCGCATGGGATGTCCTCTCGCAAGGACGCATCAACTTTCCGGGTGGAGCAACTTTCACGGTTCTCGCTAGAACCTTCCCCAGGCCGTTTGCACCGAATCACTCAATCAGTTGTGCAAAGGGCCATAGAGGTTACGTAACCGAATGTATCGCTCGATACCCTTTAATAAACTAGGATGGCCAGACGGACATACATTTTTACAAGCACGAAGGAAGCCCTGTGGCAGGCCCGACGGACACACAGCTGCAAAGATGGAGGGCGGCTCCGTCTCGAGCGGGGGCTCTCGCTTGCCACTCCCTGGGTACTTCTGGTCACGCCCCTCCTCCCCAATCCCTGGGCTCCATCCTCCATTAGCTGCCGTCCGTTCTCGAAACATCCCTGGATCAACGCGCCCAAAATGGGTACGGAATCAGCGGGCATGATGCCCACCAACAAATCGTGTCCAAAACCGGCAACGTCCGCTGCTGGGTAACGTCAGCGGCGACGCAGACAACGAGTCCTGTGCAAAATTGACAGGAACAGCTATCGCTATCGGCGTTCGCCCCCATTCTTTCAATACCGAAACGGTCGAACTGATTAGATGGCTCTGGACAGGTGGTCCCTGCAGATCTCCTGAAGTCTCCGGCCAGCCCTCAAGGACACCTCTTGACGAACGAACAGCGTACACCCATACCCATAAGGAGGCACGGAGGGGGCTATGGCTGCGTGATGTCGCAGGGAAATCCGCCCCGCTCGACCAGCAGCCTCCCCCAGGCTCCGACAACCCAAACCCCATACCCATGGCCAAACCTCCTCTCTCCGACCGTTTTATGGGTGTGGGAACGTATTGTTCGTTCGTTATCGCTGGAGGGCTAGATGACGGAAGGCTCCAGCGGAGGGAACTCCTCACCCTTCGAGCAGGGGCCGCATTCCTACAGGCCTACCACGACAGTTTCTCATAACGAAGGTCATGTTCGAATCACATAACCAATGTGCTAGAGCAGACAGCCGATGCATTCAATCAAAACGGTCTCAACCAAACATGTTCTGAGAACATTCCGTGCACACCACAAAAGGTTATTAGAAGATGTTCTGGTGCGCCTATGATCGGGGAAACTTAAGACTCGGATTCGGAGGACTCGGGTTGGCCTGGCAGGTACGTCAGGAATACCTCGATACCCAACCTGAAATGTGACGCGAGCTCCCGCTGCAAGCAGCGTACGAACACTGCACCGTCCAGACCCAGAACGGACTTGTCAAGAGGCGTCGGCAAACCTGGCGAAATTAATTCTAGAGGATCAATACACTGCATCAAAATAAACTGTTGAAGGTCCGCGCGGATTTCTTGGATCTGAGCTGGGCCCCCTCCCTGGCGCGCGGAGCGCGCCAAGGGCGGCGCTGGAGGCGCTGCCAGGGGGGCCGAAGCGCCGATCCAAGAAATCCGCGCGGAACGTCGAAAGTGTATGGTTGTGCCGCTTTTCCTTCTTCGAGCTTCCCTGGTACTGGCAGGTCAACGCGCCTCGCCACTGCTGCAGCCCCTGGACCCCGTCACGGCCACCACGGAGGAGGCGGCGAACGCCCCGACTCCCACCTCCGCGTCGCAGAACCAGCGGGCGCCGGGGCGTGTGTGCTGGCGCTGCCTTGGCCATGGGGTGCCGCTCTGCCGGGCCCTGCCGAGGCCTGTGCTGGCCCTGCGCCTTCCCGCCCCCGCACCGATAGGGATCAGCAGGTACTCACTCCCACTGCCAGCTGACCGCAGTCTGTCATGCAAGCAAAGCCGGGCGTGGAGCTCGATGGCGTGGGTGCGCAGCAGAAAAGAAGCGTTTTACTCCCGCCCACCCGACCCCAGAACCATCTTCCTCATCGTCCTCCTCCTCCTCGTCCTCATCCTCCTCCAACCCCTCCTCCTTCTGATCCTTCTTCTCGCGGCGGGCTGCGCGACCGCCCAGAGGGGCGCGTTTGACAAGATGGCCTCGACCAGAAACATGTAGTCTCCTCCTCTTCCTCCTCCTCCTCCTCTTCCTCCTCCTCCTCCTTCTCCTCCACCTCCGCCTCCTCTCATCTTCGTCCTCCTCTTGCCTCCTCCTCTCCCTTGACTCGTCCTCCTCATCCTCATTTGGAACCTGCAGTCAGGATTGGTGCACAAACAGAAACACATGATGGAGGAAGAAATATCATGGACACGGGAAGATCGGAAAGAGCTCACATGAGGGATATCCAAGATGTCCCAGGAGCCAGCCACCTCCTCCTCCTTCTATTGACTCTTCATCTTCCACTTCTAGATGGGGCACGGCGTGGCGACCCGTGTGGGGTCTCGCCCGTGCGCCCAGCAGAAACCTCCGGACACCGCTGGCCAGGCCGCCGACCACGAACAGATCGTCTCTCCCCGATGGGCGCGCGCTCAGAGGTGGTGGCCGGAGGGGGGGGGCGGGACTGCGTGGCGGGGAGGGGAAAATTCTGGGCCAACTCCCGCGGCGGGGTCGCCGCAGGGTCGACACTACACGAACCTACTGTAAATAGCTGGTGTGCAAGGGATCTGCAGGTGTATGTGTATATATATAGACACATATTATATATAAAAATAATTACGCATACATACTTATGCATATGCATACACACCTATATATGCATATACATATGAACACATATATACGTATACACACATACCTATATACATACGTATAACTATAAGAAGAAGACGAATGCGCGACCACATGATCTCCATTCGCCGGGGCTGACGTCTGGTGCGGGATGCTGGGCTTCCCGGAATTCGTGGCCCACCGTGGACTCCATCGTGCCCCCCACCGTGCCCCCCATCGTGGCCACGCATCGTGAACCGTGCAAAGCTCTCTTCTGCCGCAAGGGCGCCCTCTTCGCTTGTTGTTCGAAGTTCTCCCGCCGGGGGATGCTTCCCAGCAGCTCGCCTCATCGAGAGCAATTGGGAGGTGCCCGAATCGTCCCGAATGGCCGCTGGAGGCCCGAGTCATGCCCCGAAAACCAATAGGGCCCGTCGCGTCGTCACGATCGTCGCGGTGCGAAGATCGAGGCTCGAGGTCTCCTCGCTGCCACGGCAGCATCCGCCTGGGAAGTCCGGCCAGAGCGCACCACAGGAGGCCACGAGAGGCCCAGAGGCCGATCCTTGACCGCCCGCCCCGGGCCCCCTTTGCGCCGTGAACCAACATTGGAGGCCTGGAAATTGGCACCAACACCAGCACAGGGGTTTGCCTCCACGAGGGGAAGATGCTCCTAGATTTCGGTGTTGGTGGTAATATTTCAGTCACCTTGAAGCCAGAATATTACCACCATCACCGAGATCGGGATCGTCTTCCCTCGGTGGAGGCACACCGCCGATCTTGGTGTTGGTGTCAACCTCTAGGCCTGCGACAACAGATCACAAAGGCAAGTGCTTGGCCTGTTCCGCCCTCGCAGCAGCCCGTACCTGGCCCCCGGTGCTGTGCCCACAAGCTCACTCAGGGTGGCAGCCAGCTCCACGGCATGGGGTCGAGAGGCGCGTCGTCGGCAATCTGCGGAGGAGCGTGGAAGCGGGCTCATACTCAGGCTGAGGCGGCGACTGCTGCTGTTGCTCTTTCTAATGTTGCGTGTTCGTTTGCTGCTGTGGCCCGCACATTCGTACTCATCATCGGTCTCACCATCGCACCCCTCATCCGCGTCATCCTCTTCCATCCTCCTATCCTCGTCATCAGCATCCTCCTCATTATTCCTGCGTTCCCTTGCTCTCCGTCCTGCACCCTCCCAGTGATCAGTCCCCTCTTGTTGCCGTTTACTTGTCTTCTGCACTGGTACTCCAAATTTCGTAATAAAAAGGGAGGGGGTCTGGACCCTCCAAGACAAGCCATTTCAGACCTCCCCCGTGGGAGAACCCTCCAAAACATCGTCCCCAGACCCCCCCAGGCCCTCCAAGATAGCCTGGAAGATACCCCCCCCGAAATGAGACCCCCCTCCCTTTATTACGAAATCTGAAGTACTTCTACTCCCCTTCTTTCCAGCCGACGCTGCCCTTTCCAGCGCGCGAGTCTTCTACTCGGATATGCTCCAGCGATCCCGAAGGATAGCTGCTGGAGAAACACGGCCGAGCGGCCTCTCTCCTGGAGAGGCGGGCATCCTGCACACAAGCGATCGTCCAACGAGGAGCTCCTAGGCTACTCCAGATTTCGTAATAAAAGGGAGGGGGTCTCAACCCTCCCAGACGAGAAGTTTTAGACCCCCCCCCCCCCCATGGGAGAACCCTCCAAAACATCGTCCCCAGACCCCCCCCCAGGCCCTCCAAGATAGCTTGGAAAAGACCCCACCCCGAAATGAGACCCCCTCCCTTTATTACGAAATCTGGAGTAGCGCAAGGGAGTGCTCCACGCAGCAGGCTGCAAGCGGAGAGATGGAGGTTGGGTGAAGGGGACGTCGTGCGCCCTGAGTCGGTCTGATGCGTTGGTCGGACTTGACCTTTTGCAAGAGAACCATCCCCTGGGGCCTACGTAGCAACTTCTGGGAGGTTTCGGCGAGTGTGGTCGGATACAACTGAACCCGATGAAGAAAGTACTGCGTGGGGTTACGCCAGATTAGGGTAACTCGTGAGCCATATTAGATTGTATTCGATCGGACAAGGTTGCATTTGGAGCCACGAGAATACCAGGTCAGGTGCATCATCATTTCAACAACAAAAAACACTGGACGTGCAATACGATTATCCTACCACTCGGTATCCAATGCTTCAACTCCCAGGCAGAATGCTCAACGTCCGGCCAGCCCCCCAACCCAGAACCCCTCCCTGTGGGACAGATGCACCTCTAGCATCACGTGTATCCAGACTTGTGTGCTCAAGAGCACCCTGATGTGCCGAAGCCCCGGGGGCACCGCGCTGCGAGGGATGCTGCTGAGCTGCCATGTTGTGCTCTCTGTGCTGTCTTGTGCTGCTGAACCTGTGCCTCTGCAGTCCTGCGAGAGCCCTGCGCGGCCGAGCACGACCCAGATGCCTCCAATGTGCCACCGAGCAGAGCAGAAGAAGAAGAAGAAGAAGAAGAAAACAACAAATAATACAAGAATAAGAAGAATACTAAGGGGAGGACGAGGAGGAGGAGGAGGAGGAGGAGGAAGAGGAGGAGGAGGAGGAGGAGGAGGAAAATCAACAGTGGAAAGGCATGTGAACGTTCTCTTATGTTCGGCGTCCCGACATTGGGCGGAAGGGGGGGGGATGGGCGGGGTCTGGCTCTGGACCTCACTCTCTGCTTCGCGCGACTGCTTGCAGCAGTGCGCTCTGTGGGGGATGCGCCACCTGCTCCAAACAGGCGCCAGAAAAACAGCCAAGATCGGGGATGGACAGACCCCCCTTTAGTAAAACGTGGTTTAGTGAAAACGACCTGAGGCCCAAACCTGGTGGGCGCAGGCCTGGAAAATAACGCCCACGGCGCCCTCTCGAGAACCGAAAACGGACGATTCACTAATCGACGTGTCACTGTTGGGGGTTCTGTCCACCCCCGACAAGATCTACTCCAGGGAGTGGGGGAGGGGGGTGCGAGGGCCCGCGCCGAGCGGCCGAACAGTGAACGAGAAAACGATCACCATCGTGACTTCAATGTGTCTTGCGAGCCCCATGCCATGTTCCCAGGATGGCCAAATGCTGCTGGAACCCAGCCCCGCGAGCCCCCCCAGATTGCCCAAGATGACCTCAGGGCGGTGGCCCAAGGAGTTCCAACACGCCGCAAACCTCGTCCAGGATGCCCGCACAGGACCCCGGGATGCCTGGAACATGGGCCCCACGTGGCACCCCAGCACGTCTCGTACACCAGACGTCTCTGACTCCGCAGGTGCTCGGGCCCTTGTCGGCGGCAGCCCTGGGCATTACCCTGCTGGCGGAGTCAAGGGAAGTCCGGTGATGGAGCCGCTATAGCTGTGGACAGGTCTGGTGACTGCTGGTTCCGAGGGTTGACAAAAAAGGATTGCAAAAAAAACGAAGGATTGCAACGAAGGATTGCAAAAAACGAAGGATTGCAACAAAAACCCTTCGTTTTTTTTGCAACGAAGGATTGCAAAAAAAACGAAGGATTGCAACGAAGGTTTTTTTGGCAATCCTTCGTTTTTTGCAATCCTTCGATAGAAGCTCCTCTAGCAAACCGCCTTTGAGCGAGAAGTGCAAGGGCCCGCAACGGGTGCGCGCGGCACTGCTTTCCGAGTGCTCCCGGGCGGAAGCACTACTCGACGTCCCAGGTGATCCGAATGTATCCAGCGAGTCGCATGTCGATCGGTGAGACCGATCAGGGGCTGCACCAGCACACATGTATGCCGATGTCGAGTGAACCAATGCAACTTTCCTCAATCGACTTGTCTGGGAGAGCATTCTCTCAGCGCCCGGTTGGTGGAGGTTGTGGACTCTAGCGACCCCGTGGTGGGACCACTCCGAGCTCTGCGCACGGCGTAGGGGAGGGGCGGGAGAGCAATGTGCAAGCGACCAGAAGAGCTGGCGCGAAGCAAACAATTTACCAACATACATCGCGCCCCAAGAGGGAAAACACACTCTGAGCTGGGGGCTGGGGGGCGGCCCGCAGAAGAAACTGACTCGACCGATACATGTTTCATCTCCGTCTCCCTGTTCTCTCTCGTTCTCTCTCTCTCTCTCTCTATCCCTGTCTCTTCCTCCCCCTCTGGATCCTTCCCTGCGATCCCTTCGTCGCGCTCCCTCCCCCTCACCCCCCCTCCTCCTCGCTCTTCCTCCCAGCTCCCTCCACATGCTCCTCCTCCTCCTTCCTCCTTCCTCCTCCTGGCTCCTCCTCCTCCACCTCGCTGTTCCTCCTGGCTCCCTCCTCCTGCTCCCCCTCCTCATTGCTCCTCCTCCTCCTTCTCCTCCTCCTCCTCCTCCTCCTCCTCCTCGCTCATCTTCCTCGCTCCGTCCTCGCTCCTCCTCAACCCCACCCTCATCTGTGGCTTTTTCGGGTCATACCGTCGCTGGCGTCCAGCAGGCTCCTTCGGGGCGATCCGGGGGGATCCCCCAGGCGCAGCGCTGCGGGATATAGCACCCCGAGGCTGGATAACCTCCGAGAGCAGGCGAAACCTCCAGAAAAAAGCCTCACGACACGCCCTCCTCGCTCCTCTACCCCTCTCCCCTCCTTCGGTCCTCTCTTCTCTTCTCCTGTTCTCCTCTTCTCCTCGCTTCTCTCTTCTCCTGGATCCTCCCGTTGCCCCTGGCCCGGGAGACCGCCAAAGCCACCGCCACGCTCGAAGGCCACCCCCCGAGATCGGCGGACCCCGCGCTCATCACGCGCCCAGCGCGGCGACCGCGGCACCAGCCATGAGCACCTCTCCGCGGGTGGGCCGCCGCCGCTGCCGTGGCAGTGGCCGTTGCCGTTGCCGTCGCCGTGGCCGTCGCCGTGGCCGTCGCCGCCGCCGCCGCCGCCGCCGCCGCCGCCGCCGCGCCGCCGCCGCCGCCGTCGTCGTCGTCGTCGTCGTCGTCGTCGTCGTCGTCGTCGTCGTCGTCGTCGTCGTACGTCGACGTCTCCGTCGCCGTCTCCGTCGCCGCCGCCTCCGCCGTCGCAGCCGCCGCCGCCGCCGCCGCCGCCGCCGCCGCCGCCGCCGCCGCCGCCGTCGTCGTCGTCGTCGTCGTCGTCGTCGTCGTCGTCGTCGTCGTCGTCGTCGTCGTCGTCGTCGTCGTCTTCCTCGGGGAGGCGAGGCCCGAGGCTCGAGGCGACTCTGCTCGCCCGTGGCCCGGCCTCCGGCACGGCCGGCTCCGCCCCCAAAAGTCCTGGCCAGCGGGCGCCCCCGGGGAGCTCCGGGGAGCGGCGGCATCGGTGTGCACAGTCGGAGCCTTGAACCAAGGAACCCTAAATAAGGAACGAGGCCCCTTCCTTCCATAAGTGAACCTCCGATGTCCGATCGAAGACAGAAGGAAGGCCTGCGGCAAGCCGTGAAACACTCAAGGAACGCGGAGCCCCTCCCCAACGAAAAGGGTTCCTTCTTCAGGGCCCCGACTGTATCGCGCTTCGCGATGCGCGACGCACGATGCTCTTCGAGCCCTCGCGCCCTCGGGCCGCCTGCTTGGCGAAGCGCTGGCAGGACTTGGCCCAGGCCGCGGCGCGCGAGGCACGGCCGTCGTCGCGCCGCTGGGGCTCGACCAGGGTACGGCCTGACCTGGGACAGCAGGGCAGCATTCAAGAACGTGAGACCCTCCGCTGGCCAAAGTGCAGAACATCCGAGGGTACCCTCCTCCAGGGTGCACAAGAGCATCCAACAAACACGATAAACAATAGCTCACCCTCCCCGAACTGACCTCGATCTTGCACCTCGGTCCGAGCGTACGGCAGGTTCTAGTCGTGCCGGCTTCGGCGTTGGTTTCTGACATGGCGGGGATCGTTCAACCTTGGACAATCGGCCGCTCCCGAACGAAACGTCAGATCGTTCAACATCGACCGATCCCGGGTCACAGGCGGTGTTCAATGTTGAACGCCGGCGGCGGGGTCGCCGCTGGTCGACACGCCGCGAACCTACCCGCCATCAGTTCGTAGTTTTGTCGTATTTGTCGTCGTCGTGGCCGCGGTGCCCGCCGTCCAGTCGTCACCGCCGTCGTCGTTGTCGTCGCTCGAATCGCACAAGGTCCCAAGAGGGGCCCAAGAGATCCCCAAAGGATCTCGAACGTGGCTCCAAGGGGGTCCCGAGAGGGCCCTGCGATGGCCGCAAGATGCCTCCGAGAGGCTCCCAGAGCATGGATGCATGCTGCTGCGCATCCCACATCCCAGATCAGAGCACTTCGCCTGCGGATTGCTTTTGGATGGGCTGCGGGGGAATCGCGACGCGTAAAGAATTGTTCGTAATTCATCCTCGTTCGAATTCGTGGTGGTTCGTCGTCGCTCGAATTCTGCGCTCGTCGTCGGCGGCGTTGTCGACGTATGTCGTCGTTTGTCGACATTCAGCCGTCGTCATTCGAATTCGTCGTCCGCACTTTCCGTCGCCATTCGAACTCGAATTCGTCGTCATCATGTTCCTCACCGTCATTCGTCGTCGTCATTCGCCGTCGTCAGTGGTCCTTGTCAGTAGTCGTCGTCGTCGTCGTCGTCGTCGTCGTCGTCGTCTACGTCGACGTCACCGTCGCCGTCACCGTCGCCGCCGCCTCCGCCGTCGTCGTCGTCGCTGGTCGTCGCCCGTCGTCGCCGACCGTCGTCGTCGTCGTCGTCGTCGTCGTCGTCGTCGTCGTCGTCGTCGTCGTCGTCGTCGGCCTCGTCGTCGTCGGCCTCGTCGTCGTCGTCGTCGTCGTCGTCGTCGTCGTCACGTCGTCGTCGCTTCGGAGGTGTTTAGCTGCTGCAGGAGGCTCTCGCTGCTACTGCCGGGCGCGGCCCGGGACGGAGCCCCGAAGAGCTGGCCGGGGGAGCGGGCTCCGCGCCGACATTTCTCGGTGGGGGCGGGCTCCTCGGCGGAGCTCCCCGCGGAGCCGCGGAGCGCGCGGGTGGTGCGCCGCCGATGCGCACACGCGGCGGGCGGGAAGCCGCACGCGGAGCCTGCCGCGGAGGCCCTCGATGGGGCTCCCTGCGGGGCCACGAAGCGTGTGATCCTCCTCCTCCTTGGCCCCATCCTCCTCTTCGGGCTCCTCCGCGCCCTGCTTGTCTCCCGCTCTCGCCGCTGGGCTCCCCCTGGATGGTACACAAAAAAGTGGCAGGGGGTGTGCCGACATGAGCATGCGGTGGGCGAGGAGTCGCAGGTGGATCCTGCCACCGGGGCCTTCGGTGGAGCCCCGTGTGGGGCGACGGAGCGTGCGAGTGGTGTGCCGACGTGGACATGCAGTGGGGGATGGAGGAGGAGGAGGAGGAGGAGGAGGAGGAGGAGGAGGAGGAGGAGGAGGAGGAGGAGGAGGAGGAGGAGGAGGGGGAGGAGGAGTGGAGGAGGGGGAGGAGGAGGAGGAGGAGGAGGAGGAGGAGGGAGGAGGAGAGGAGGAGGAGGAGACGAGGAGGAGGAGGAGGAGGAGGAGGAGGAGGAGGAGGAGGAGGAGGAGGAGGAGGAGGAGGAGGAGGAGGAGGAGGAGGAGGAGGAGGAGGGAAGGCTGGGAGGTGTGCGAGGATCGAGAGGGGAGGTGCTCGCGCGCTCTCGCAGCGTCTTTCGTGCTCTGCCTCCGCGGGGTCTGCGAAGGCCTCTGGCGGGGCCTCCCGAAGGGGGCCTTCCAGGGGGGTCCGGATACCAGGAGGGATAGGTAGGCCGTCGGAGACTTGAAAAGATCGAGTCCGAGAGAAAATCGAGTCCGAGCCGTGTCTCCTGCATTCTCAACCCTGGGAGCCCTGGAACTGTTCTCCAGGCCCTTGGGCCATCAAAACACGAGTCGGGATGAACGAGCAGCTGCCCCAGCGAGGGGGGTCGAGGGAGCCGGGGCCCAGAGATTCGAACACGTCGAGTCGTCGGAGGTCCAGGGTGCAGGGGCGCTGAAAATACGCGCACGGATGGACACAAAAGGGCCTCCAACGCTCCCTTCTCCTCCTTGCCCTCCTCAAGCTTCTTCCAACCTCTAATACAGTGCTGCTGCTCCTCGTCAACCTATTCCTCCTCTCGGAAGCTTCGGCGCGGCCACAGGGCCAAGACGACAGGACTGAACGCACGAAGTGAGGAAGACACAGCAGCGCATAAAGCAACACATCTGCGGGCTGAAGCCGCCGTCCACATCACAGCACTCATACTGATTCGATAGTGCTATCCCCACTGGCTTCCTGGCCAATAGGAATGAAGAGGAGGACGATGAGGTGGATGATGAGGAAGAGGAGGGGGAGGAGGAGGAGGCACAGCGTGCGGAAAGAGTGGGAAGGGGCAGGAACAGGAGGAGGAGGAGGAGCTCCTCGCGCACTGCAGCCGTCAGCGCGCCCCACGCTGTGCTATTATCGTACACACCCGCATCCTGCTGCAGGCAACGCCGCGAGGGGGTCCTCGCCAGGGGGGTCGCCACGTCCTCCCGAGGAGGCCGGGGAAGGGGAGGAGAGGCCAGAATCGAATCGGTAAGTCGAATCGGCGATCGAAACTAATCGGACCGGCGGAAATCGGCAACCAAGTCGGGAGGAGTCGAATCGGCGGACATTGGCAGAGCAAGAAGGCCTCATTGAGGAATCGGAGCCCAAATCGGAATCCCAAGTCGAATCGAAATCGAAATCCATCGAGGTCGAATCGAACTCGAATCGGATCGAAACGGAGAAACCGAAGCGAGCCCTGGGAGGGGAGCAGGACCCCCGCAGGGGCCGCGCCCACCCTGGACCCCGACGCCCTGAGCCCCTCTCCCGGCACGGGCCCCTGGCAGCCGTGACCGGGCCTGTTGCGGGGGGGCGAAGAGGCATCCTCTGTGGGCGAGACCCCAGGAGGGGGTCCAACTGAAAGGGGGTGGTGCAATAGATTTGGGGCAGTTGTATCGCAAATGTCTGGCGCCGGAGAATGGTATTGCGTTGTATTGCAAGTGATGCAGTGCACGCGGACATCCAGCAGTACATCTGCGCCCCGGGATGTACTGCACGCCCCAGATGCACTGCAACTCCACACAGCTATTGCACCAAATCTATTTCACCACCCCCTTGTCGCTGGACCCCTTTTGGGTCAACCCGCACCGTCTTCGGCGGCAGCTATTGTGGATCCTCCCGTGCTGGCTCTTGCGAATCGACGCTGTAGTCGACACAAAAATCGGCGCATCCTCATCGATGACAGCGTGACCGCTTTCTCGCTCGGCGGCTCGACGTTGGGGTGAAGGGGGGGGGTCTGGCTCCGCACCTCTGCTTGGCGCGACTGTTTGCAACAGTGCGTCCTTTGGAGGACTCCACCTGCTTCGAACAGGCGCCAAAAACAGCCAAGATTTACTTGGCAAAAAATGAATAAGAAAACGATTCCAATCAGGACGCTGACAAAAAAGGCCGCTTTGGGTTCGGAGAGGGTTCGCTGTTCCGTAGGTCATTATGTGGTTGTTCCTCTAGCCCTCCTCGTGCACCCAGGCTCTTTCGGTGCCGGAACTACGTAAGCTTCGTTCCTCATTTAGCGTTCGTCGTTTCAGCAGCCCGACAGTAACAAAGGCTAGCCGCTAGCGCACGCTGACGCACCCCAAAGACGGGGTCGCGAGGACACAGACAAGGCTCCCATGATTTGCGACCGAAGTCTTGGGTGGCGACAGCCAGAGCCTACCCCCATCAGCCACCGACTCTTCTAAATCGATGGGGGAAGGGGTTAGGGTACGGACCTCCGAATCCTACGAAGCCGACCCCCGAAGCCACGTGCCACGTAGCCTACGAAGCCTACCCCCTCCGAAGCATACGAAAATCGCCACGTGCTGGACGACTTCCGAGCCTTCCCCCCGCCGCCCATCGCCTTGCCCGACTCGTTGATCGGCGAGGGCAGCGTTCGGACTTAACGCCGCCGAACTCCTCCTCGTCATCGTCCTCCTCCTCCTCCTCTTCCGTCTCCTCCTCCTCCTCCTCCTCCTCCTCCTCCTTCCTCTTCCTGATCCTCCTCCTTCCTCATCTCCTCCTCCTCCTCCCCTCCTCCTCCTCCTCCTCTCCCCTCCCCCCTCCTCCTCCTCCTCCTCCTCCTCCTCCTCCTCCTCCTCCTCCTTGCAGAGCCCCGGGCCCCATCGGAGCGCTCACCGCCGCGCGGCGCCGGCCCCGCCGCGGGGGGCGCGCCGCCCGCGGCCGGCGGCGCAGCTCCTCCTCGCGCCGCCGCGGCACGACCTGGCCGGGGTCCTCGGCGTCGGCGAGGCGCCGCCGCTCCTGAAGGAGGAGGAGGAGGAGGAGGAGGAGGAGGAGGAGGAGAGGAGGAGAGGAGGAGGAGGAGGAGGAGGAGGAGGGAGGAGGAGGAGGAGGAGGAGGAGGAGGAGGAGCCGGGCGAGGCGGGAGCGAGCGGGAGG